GGTGAATTCTGTTTTGTCTAAAGTGTTTTGTTTAATTTGTATAATGTTTAAAGTAAGAATCAATTACAAAAACTATGTCGTGACTTTGTCGCAGTGACACTACCCTGTTTAAGGGGTGTTATTACGTTAGATTTCATAGGTCAGCAGTGAATTTATTATCTTGGCCCTCAAGTCACGAAAAGTGAAACGATGGGTTTCGGTGCCCGCTAAACATGCACATGTTCTTTTCATTACTAACAAAAGCCATTAAGTATCCATTGTATTTACACAATTGTAATGATTATAGACAGCAACAGAGGCCACTGGTATACTGTATATAAAAGGGTGCGAACATGTTACCATTCTGAATTTGTAGTGAGGCAGTAACAACGATTTTTTTTTTACATTTTGTTTTCCTTCAGGTATGTTTTGACTGTGCAGCTAAAAACCCCAGCTGGGCCAGTATTCCATATGGTGTCTTTTTGTGCATTGACTGCTCCGGCATTCATCGCTCTCTTGGAGTACATCTCAGCTTCATCAGGTATATTTAGCCAAAATGATCACTTTAACTTAGACCCCCATTGATCGGTGTCTTCTGTTTTGTGCTGAAAATTATCCCTTATAAATAAAACACTGTTTTGAGAAATATTCACTAATTTCACACTACATTAAGTAAAAAAATACACATGTAATCTTTTAGCTAAAAAGTGATCATACACTGCATATTAATCCAACCCATTTACTTGTGTTCTCATTGTTATTCTCGTCACACAATGTCATTATTTGTACTGTTGATGAACTCTAACTCGTTTTCCTCCATTTCACTACAGATCCACTGAGTTAGACTCCAACTGGAACTGGTTCCAGCTGAGATGTATGCAGGTTGGAGGCAATGCCAATGCGGTAAGTCAGGAAATTAAAATGGCTGTGATTAGGGTTTTGTTGCACATTCTAACTATAACCAGTGAATAATAAACCCACTGTTTGTGTTGAAGACCGCCTTCTTCCGGCAACATGGCTGCTCTACAAACGACACGAATGCCAAGTACAACAGTCGTGCAGCTCAGATGTACAGAGAGAAGATCAGGCAGCAAGCAAACGCTGCTTTGTCCAAATATGGTTCTGATGTAAGTTCCTTGTAATGTAAATTACTATGCTAATTATATAATTTCCCAGTAATTGGTCTCTGTCAGCTTTAATAGTCTGATTTATGGCTCAGCCACTATTGTATTACACACCCTGAAAT